ATTTCCTCAAAAACCTCTGTCAACTAGCTTTGACTGAGGTCTTCATAAAGGTCTTCTAAAAAAATACTTTTGGGAAGGAAATCTGTCAGAATTGTTGTTTGTAGTCATTGACCATACGCTACAAATACAGCAGATAGAGATTAGGTTGAAAAATGCTGGAGTGATCCTTAAGGAATAAGACGTCATACATTTTTTTTTTTCTTTCTCGTGTAACTGTAGAATTGTTAACATCTCTGCTAATGTTCTCAGAGCTTGTGGCCATGATGCATGGGATATCTGTCCTGCTCATTTCGCCGATGTCAGAAGGTTAACAGCTTTTCAAGAGATCCTTCTTCTGATAACGGCCACTTCCTGAACCGCTCCTCCTGAAATACAATGCCCATGTAACCCTTGAGTTCAAAACCCAGCTGCAGCTTTTTCTGCACTATATTTCTTCTGATTTTAGTGGTTTGAGATCAGTGTCTGGGCTGACTACGGAGATGCTTCCTGGTTTAAAAAGAAGTGTTTACTGTTACAGTGGAAAAAAATCTGAATGTGAGTGACTGTAAAGTCTGTTAAAGATCTGGAAGATCTACTGATTATGTGGGACACTTTCAGGATGGTGGATAGAGAACATGATAGACTCATACTAGATGGTAGAAGTTGAGCATGGTGGGCTCATATAGGATGGTGGATATGGTGGATACAGGACTGTAGATGTAGAACTGGGTAGACTTATACATTGGTACATTGTAGACTCATGGTACACGGTAGACTCAAACAAGACTGTAGATACACAGCATGGTGGATACAAGATGGTAGATGGGGATTATGATAGAACACATTCAGGATGGTAGATATAGAACATGGTGGACTCATTCAAGATGGTGGATATAGGCTGTGGTGGACTCATACAGGATGTTAGATATAGACCATAGTGGAACACACAGAACATGGTGGACACATACAGGATGGTAGAGATAGAAAATGGTGGGGAAAAAGTTTAAAATGAGTTTAAGTTGATTGCCAACATAGGTTATGAATAGGTTAGGAATCCATGCAGGGGTTGTGGTCATGAAGCTCATTAGAAGTTATGGACCAAATGACAAATGTAATGGTACTATTCATTCAAATTGCTGGAGCATCCGGGGGAGGCTCTTAAAGGCTTGAACATCTATGTGGTGATATTCATTGCATCTTGAGTTGGCATACCCACACTGATCTAGAGGGCAGGAAGTACCAAAGAAGGAAAACTCAATCCAGGTGATGCATCAGAATTATGTCAGGCAGCAGCACACAGAAACAAAATGGATTCCTGGGTAAAGTGCACATTACTGAACATATGGTGTCTATGATGATTCAAGTGGCAGACTATAACAGCTTATCTAAAAAGAGAAAAACATAATATAGCAGCGGCATGAGATATCAGCACCCCTCCACTCTATTGTCAAGAAAACCTGAGTGAGTGCATGCAAATAGCCTGATGAATTGCATGATGAGAGCACCTGCATTTCTGTTTTGCATAACTATATGCCCATACGCCACCAAATATGCACCTTTATCTGAAAAGCAAAAATATCAACCCAATTCCTACCAAAAGAAATGCATTTCCAGTATAACCTTAAGAGTTGAGATCTTCTCTGAGTCCTGAACACTGACAGAAAGGTTATTCCATACTTCCATACAAAAGTTATTCCAAAAATTTCTTGTGCTTTAACTTTAATACTTGTAGATGCTGATAAAGAGGCCGGTGAGTGGCAGGATGTTATAATCAATATGGAAGTTACCTAGAAACCAACATATTGTCAGTTAAAAAGGGCTAATTTCAAACATTCTGGCTCTTTTAAAACCCCTGCAGTGGACCTAGAACAGAGTCTTGTGGGACACCATACATTTGCATGTACAGACACGTCTCCATTTAGATTCATAAACTTATAACAGTCAACTAGGCAGAATGTGAACAAGAGGAGCTCTCTTATCCTAGGGATCAAGAAATGAATTTCAAATGAGTTTCATTGCATCTTGTTTTCTAAGTAATGCCTAGAGCTTTGTTATAAACTGTTCTTATGCTTTCCCCTTGGCTGTTTAGATGAAGGCCATGTACATAATTGTAACCTGAGGGTAGCCTCATTTAAAGCTAAATATAAAATTAATATTGAAGCACTTTTCAGGATGAACCCACATTTCTGAGATACAAAAAGCATGAAACCAATTAATCTGTAATAATTTAATTTAGCAGGTCTGCTTCAAGTGTGATCTTTCGGGAACTTATATTTAGCAGGGGTTTTTTTTTCAGATCAAAGGTGCTGGAAGTGAAAATGGGATTATTAATGTAAAATGAATTAGGTTCACAAAACAACTTTCCTAAGATTTCTTGGATTTTTGTTGGATTCAAGGAAAATTAGAAGTCCCCACAGGATGGAAGTAATGTGATGTTTCAAGACAAGCTTAGCCATTTTTATCTGCAGTCTGGCTTTTGTTCTAGATCATAGAAATGAGTGGCCCCAAAAGGAAAGTATACCTCTTGCCCAAGATGCCAGACTTAACTTCGAAAGTAAACACATTTATAACAAAAGGCACTTTCTAAGGACCACTTAGGCTGGGCCTACACTACACAATGTATTGCCAAATTTTAACCCCGATTTTCCCCTTGCGACAAATTTTCACAATCTGAAGGGATTTTTCTCAGTCGGGAGCTCAATTGGAAGCTCAATCAGAAGCGACTGATGGTGTGGATGATCTGGTAGTGTGAGAGGAGCAATGAGTGAATCTTTAGCCCTCTGACTGAACTCTGAAGTAATCAGACCCTCTGATATGATCAAACAGGTTTGATATTTACAACTCAAAGCATTCATGAGTCCTGCAGTGTGAGAAGGTCAGAGATTAGCTCAACTAATTATTTAAACAACAGCCAATCAGAGAACTAGAAGAGTAGAGTAACAGGCAAAGAGACATGCATGCAGACCGCCTGAACAGCAGAGCTTGGAAACAGATGACCTGCGTGTAAAACTCTAATATAAATAAGAGCTGACATCATGTTTATAATGTTGGATCCATATGTCAGGTCACTCATGCCAGGTCACTTTAGAATTTCAAGTCAGCTACAAGTTTGTAGTGAAATATTTCTCCAGCTGTCACTGTAATATCAACGTCTCTCAACCCCATATTAATCCTGGTTGCGCTTTCGCTGTGCATAAAAGCACAAACAGGTCCCATATGTTTAGCCTTATTTGTGTCATGTGATTTTGGAGGAGATCTGGGAGATTGAATTCTTGTTCTAAGCCCAAACTCGTTATGTGTGCTGTACTCTGTCTTTGCCTTGTCATCTAGTGTGAGCGCCCTCATGGCAAAAAGACAAGAAATTTTGTGACAAACTGACGTTAGGTTTGAGATGCTCTCTGTTTCAGAAATCTGTTAAGATTTCAAAAGTCGTATAGTGTACGTGCAAGAAGGGCCTGGGTTCGATTCCCCGGCCGGGCAACCTGGGTCCTTTCTGTGCGGAGTTTGCATGTTCTCCCCGTGTCTGCATGGGTTTCCTCCGGGTTCTCTGGATAAGCCGTTTAGATGATCACCAACCAGGCTTACTGTCATGAAACTTCTACAGACAAACCTATACATTTCCTACTGACTAGTTTTCTCTAAGCTCTGCACCTCTCCATTCTTCTCTGCTAAGCAGATGACTAACGTACACTGCATGGCAAAACTATGTGGACACCCCTACTAATTAGTAGTTAGGGTTAGACAAACATTGACAGTCAAATGGGCTGTGTCAAAGAATTCATTACTTGTCACTTCAAAGGATGCCACCTTTCCAACAAGTTGATCAAATTTCTGATCTGCTTGAGCCACACAGTCCAGTCTACTGTAAACACTGTTAATGTGAAGTAGAAACATCTAGGAGTAACAGCTCTGCCATGAAGCATTAGGCCTTGTAAACTTACAGCACGTAGCATGTAAAAGTCATCTGTCCTCAACAAGTTCCAAACTACCTCTGGAAGCAACAGTAGCACAAGAACTGTTATTTGGGAGCACAACACTACTGGACTCTGAAGTGATAAATCATGGCAGTCTGACAGATGAATCTGAGTTTGTAGGATGCAGGAGAACACAACCTACCTGGGTGCACAGTGCCAACTGTAAAGTTTGGCAGAGGAATAATGATCTGGGTCTGTTTTTCATGATTTCAGCATATAGCATACTCTGACATTCTGGAGAACTGTGTGGCTCCAACTTTGTGGCAACATTTTTTTTTTCAGCATGACCTATGCACAAAGCCAAAATCTATAAAGAAATAGTTTGCCAAGTTTGGTGTGCAAGAACTTAAGTGATCTGCATAGAGCTCTGATCACAACCCCAACCAACACCCATGGACTGAATTGGAATGGTGATTGTGAGCCAACAAATTTATGCAGATATGTTCTAAAATTTAATGGAAAACTTTCCTTGGGGCATAAAGATTGTTATTCCAACAAAAGACAGATGGTTCTACATTTTTATGCATTGGGAATATCCATGGTTATAGTATAAGACGTTCAACAACCACAAGTAGAAGTGATTTTTCATGTTGTGTACATTTCTCAAGGAGAGGGCTAGCATTCATGATGGAAAAATGATGACTCAACACTTACAGTACAAGGAATAGGGTCAAGGTGGCCCAGCTTGAAGTACTTGAATGCTACTTTGCTTTGTTGGCTGTCTATATATTGGTGCTGAAGGTTTCTAGATAATAATCTGGTGGAAAATGTTCTCTGCTGACTTTGGGTCTAAGAATGTTTTTGAAGATACATATTTGATGTTAAAATTTTTGATAAAGTGACTTGATTTTGTTTCTTACATTATTTTCCTTTTAACTTATTTGCTATGTGATGTTGAAATTATTTTAAATATTTTTGACAAAAATAGATTCAAAACAAATGTGAAGATTACACGCATTATCATATAGTAGGTGATAATATTGTTAAAGGCTTACTCTCTGTCTGGTAGAAATATGGCAAATGCTGGAATACAATGAAACAACAAAATACAAATTGATATTCTTTATTCCACATACATGTATTCTTTTTTTTTTTTTTAATTTGAACTGTTTACAATCTAAATGATTCAACAACAAAATGAGAAACTACCACAACAAAGTCCAAATTTGTTACTTGGGAAAAAAGAAATGATAATAAAAAAGATGGTGACTTCACTGTGGAGACATGGACTTCATCATCAGGTTAGCTTTAAGGTCCAAGGAATGAATTAAAGTAAAGACAAGATTAGGACAAAAAAGTAGTCCATGTACAAACGTAAACAAAATCATGACTGCAAAAATCATACAAAAAAACATGTTATATTGTTAAATGATTTTGAAATATTCATCTTGGATTATGCACTTCAATGGGCTTTTTTAAATAAATAATCTCTCATTTTTTCAATGTTTTTCCATATTATAAACAAATATAGTATTACCGTATAATTTGGGGTTAGATCAACGGCACACGCATTTTTCGGGTTAACATTTCGAAGCCACTCAAGCCCTTTGTCCTCAGTTCACAAACAGTTTCAGGAGTGAGATGCTAGCTGGGTCATGATTACTCCGAAAGCAAGGGGAATTGCAAATTTGGCTGACATTGCATCTTGTGAGTATTGCAAAAAATAGAAAGTGACTTACATGTTGACATACACATACATAATTAAGCATTACGTACATATATGTGGGGTAATGGAAGAGGAAACAGGTTTATGGGTCGTCGGTCTGTAGCAGTGAGAAGGCGTTTCGCGAGCCAACAAATAAGAGTAATACTTGAATTTTACAAATCTGTCCTGTACACAATTTAGGAACGTCTTTGAATACGACCTCTCACCAAGAGGGATTCATATAAATTGAAAAGAGTTAATTACTGACACAGACTGTATTTCCCTTCTGGCTATCCGTCAGAGTTCAGGATCATATCCACATGGGCATTAGGTCGAGGGCCTGTGTACATCCTGACACAACCTGTCCCACAGATGGGTCCATTAGCAAAATAGATGTGTGCATAAATTTTCACCGGTGTCCTTTTAAATCTGTTTAAATCATTTTCATGTTAAAGCGTCGAGGGCCAGCGGTCTGCTCTGCTCCCTCAGCAGAGGCCCCGTTGGACTTGGAGCGTGGCACATACTCTATATCAATGTTGTTTTTGTGCTTCCCTTTACCCCGGCTCCATACAAACAGGAGCAGGAAACAGAAGAGGACCACCCCCAGGAATGTGAAACAACCCATGGCCGTAGACACTAAGATGGTCTTTAGGTCCAAGCCAAAGGTCATGTTGGGGAGGTTGGTGCTGTTGGCTGTGGTACTGTTGGGATCTACGTAGTACTGGGTCCTGTTAGCATAGAGTGAGCCCAGGCTCTTGACCGCCAAAGACACCATAAGTGTGTCATTTCCTGCCGTGTTGGAGGCCACGCATACGTAAACACCGCCATCCTGAACCTCCACAGACTTGATGTCCAGTGAGCCATTGTTGTGGACCATCACCCGACCATGGCTCCTGTTGGTGAGATGTCTCCGGCGTGGGGTGATCCAGGAAATGGTGGGACGAGGGGTCCCATCTGCACTGCACTGTAGCCGAGCTGACTGACCTTCTTCCACTGACACCAGCTGGGTCCGATTCTCTCGGATCTTGGGCTTGGTGCAGGTCACATAGTAGGACAACAGGGTTTCTTTGAACTCCTTGAAGGGACGTCCACGGATGCCTTCTGGGGTGTTACACTCAGGCTGCTCCTCACCGAATGAGATGGAATGCCTTTTCTGAAGGAGCCACATCAGCCGACAATCGCATACTAGTGGGTTATCGTTGATTAGCAGCAGCTCCAGAGCCTCCGGCGCCTGAAACACACCCCTCTCTAGAGTGTCCAACTTGTTGTGGGACACATCAAGTATCTTGAGCCAGCGCAGGCCCTGAAAAGCAAAGGGTTCCACAGATACGAGCTGGGCGCCTGCTATTCGCAGCTCACGCAGACGCACCAGGTCCTGCAGAAGGCCCCCTTCCACAGTGCGGATGCGGCTGTAGGACAGGTTCAGGTGTGTGAGGTAAGGCAGGTGGCGCAGGGCTTGGTAGGGGAAAGTGGTCAAGTTGGTATTTGTGACGTACAGCGTGGTGAGGTTGAGCCCATGCAGAGTGTTGGCTGGGAACACATCCAGAGATGGCCAGTTGTCAATCTCCAAGTGGCGCAGGCGGAACAGCTTCTTGAAGGAATAGGGATGTAGGGTGCTGATGCTGAGGTAGCGCATGTGGAGGCTAACCAGGTTATGCAGATGTGATAGGGCATCAGTGGGCACCACGGTCAGGTTACAGCGCTCCAGCGTCAGACTCTCCAGAGCCAGCAAGCCATTGAATGCCCGGTGCGAAATGTAGACCAGCTCATTGTCCCCCACCTCCAATGACTTGAGGTTGTGCAAGTCCTGGAACATGTAGTCAACCAAGATGACGATCTTGTTGTCACTAATGTCAAGTGTGGTGAGGTTAGAAAGGCCTGTGAAGACACCCAATGAGAGGAGTTTGATGCGGTTGCTCTTGAGACTGAGGGAGTGCAAGCTAAAAAGGGAGTTGAAGGCCCCTGGCTCCACATAGGCAATGATATTACCACTCAGGTCTAAGTCTTCAATATGGGGATAGGCAGCAAAGTCATCAGGGTTGATGGCCTGGATGCGGTTCTTGCTAAGGTCCAGGATGCGGGTCTCGATGGGGATGCCGTCAGGGATGGTCGGGTAGCGTTTCCGGTGGCAGATGACAGATCGGCTCTGGGCAGAGCACTCGCAGCGGGAGGGGCAGGCGAGGGCGGAGCCTAAAAACACAGCCACCAAGGCCAGGCCCAGCAGTGGCTGCCAGCAAGACACAGCCGTGTGCAACATGACTCGACTCATACAGTCCACCATTCTGTCACGGCTCTGAAGGAGAGAAAAAGAAAGAGAGAAAAAGAAGAAATAATAAGTTAATGAACATGACATATGACATGATATGATAAATAAAGCTGAGTATCAAGCATTTTGCATTACTTGAACCCTGCTACATAACACTGACATAACCATTCCATAAACATGTCATGGCAGATTGTGTCAAGTAATATACCAGCATCATGTTATAATTTCCAATGATTTTCATAATAGTTGCCATTAATTTTTAGGTCTTGACAGTTAACTAGAGTAGTAGCATGTGATAGAAGCTTATGACATCAAACATTGTGGCATCCATATTGAAAATGATCCATAAAGGTAACATGACACTGCTCTATTCCTGGATATAATTGGTTATAACTAACTGATGGCATAAGACATCTGCCATGATACGTTTATGGCATGGTTATGTCAATGTAAAGTTGCAGGGTTCAAGTGAAGTGTTACCAAATCGTGTTTTTAACCACTTAAAAAATTTCTTATTCAGATAACTGTTCTACATTATCTGCTTAGCACTATGAAACAAATGTGTGAGGTTTATATTTATAAGTGAGACATCTAGACATTTTTTGACTGCACTATTTTAATGCTGTATAAAAAATCTGTAACAAAAATGACCTCCAAAATGACCACTGCCATAATTCCAGACAGAAGAAGATCTCTGTACTATATTGTTGGCTCACATTTGTCGAATCTAGACACAACTGATTCAGCTCCAGAAGTAACTTCAAGCGTCTTTTATTAGCACAGACTGCCAAGATAACTGGAGACATGCACAAACACAAATGAACAGCCTCAGCTCATGCTTGTGGGGTCACTGCATGTGCATGGATTGATTCTTTATTGTTTTTGCATGAAGTCACAGCCCTGAGGTTATCCCACTGTGTTTTTCTCTGTCTGTTCAGCATTCACTGAGATTTGGGCTGAAGATTAGCACAGTCATGCCTCATGCAAATACTTCTTCCCCAACAGAAAGAGAGTTTATGTAATGCTGCTGATTACGTTTGTGCATATTTTTTAATCGCTGCAGAACATCGGGTCATTGGTGATGAACACTCTGTTCCTGTCTTCTACTAATTTTCACACTGTCAGCTAAAGTACTAATAAGATAAAACAATGTTTCTCAAATTGTAGGAAGAAATATATGAGTTACAGCGAGCAAATAATTACGTAAGAATTAAGAGCAAAGATCTACTTGAAGGAAACAACTCAAGGCCAGCTTAAAGTCAGACTATAGCCGGCAGAACCTTATGAAATATTTGAATTCTATTGCTAAATTGAATGCCATTCAGTACACTGCTTCTTGGCTCTATCAGTGTCTATATACCAAGCCTCTGAAGTCTTACAGTTACTTTTCTGCTTTTGTTAAGAGACATTAACTACCCCTGAAGAATTCTACTCTACGCTAAGCTAAAGAACTCTAACACTGCCTCCAAACTACATAGAGAAATACTGATGGATTTATCCGACTTTGGAAATATAGGCAAACAAATTTCAATGGCAGAACATTATGGGTCGATCTCTGAGACATAGATGAAATCTAGTCAAAAGATCTATTAAGACAGGATTAGTCTTACATGCAAAGGTGCACTAATATAATTGTTATTGGTGTTTCTAAATGACGTTAGTCCCAGCCATGGGACTAACGTGGGACTAATCGGACAGTATTTATATTTTATATTTATATATATATATATTATATTATATGGACTGTGCTGTCATGTGTCAGTAAACATTCCAGTGGCTTTTACTTCCTATTAAACAACCCATAGAAATAACTCCAAGTTATATTAATCCCATGCGACATATCTGTAAATTTTGAATCATGTCATGTGGAAAAGGAATTTTCACGGTGTGTATTCTCTTGTATTCTTTATGTACTGTTGAGCAGAAATGTATTGTCCTATCATCAGTGTATGACTCAGTGTGTTAACATTGACTGTTTTGGCTGCAAAGCAAATGACAGTGCTAATGACACACTGCATTCATTTAAGACAGCTACGCAGATGCAGCACCAGGAGTACTATTGTGGGCACGACAAATTAGCTAGTGGGCCCAGTCTCACTCCCACGTATGGCGAGGATATACCTTGTGAAAACCAAAGTATAAACCATTACTGAGGCATTTAAGGAACTCAAATCTTTTGCTTTGCACACAGGAGTTGTAGACAACAATATAACCAATATAGTATGGTGGCAATTTCAAGCATTTGTGCCTTCGGTGTTAATGAGCTGGTAGATGTTCCATGTTCAGTTTTGGATAAGTGCTTGGAGTTACTACAGTGAGCTTCTCATCATTATGCCCAGCTACTTTCATGCTTAGGCCATGTTTACATGCTTCCCTACATTTATCTCCTAAATGATGACAATATCACTGCTAATGCAGGCTTCACACCTTTCATACCAATGTGATAAGAAGCGCCTATTTCAGTGCTGAAAGCTGTAGATGGATTTGAGGATGTTTTTGTGGCTCAAGAGAAACTGACACTTGGCAATCACAGTTAACCATGTTGGTTAAGCTGGGATTTTGATTGGAAATCAAATACTAAATTTCAAATATGTCATATATGTAGTGAGTATGTTATTTTGGTTATTTATTCTTAAGAATTTAACATTTTAAATCTGAACAGTAATTTTGGGTGGGCCAATGATAAAAGTGGGCTGGTCTGGCAATCATAGATGTTTAGGTTAAACAAGATTATGAATAAATTGAATGTGTGGGCATGTTTTCTACTTGCGAGCAGATGAACATATTGCACATGGAACTTTTCTGGTGTGGAGGAAATGTGCAAATTGATTAGCCCCTCCCACCTCTGTAATTTATTCTGAGATTTCTTATCCTGTGTGAATTGGTCACAAATATTGACCAACTTATACACACATATAATGAGCCATGTGTCCAGTGTTGACATAAATCAACAAAAAATCAATGCCACAATCTAGAAAGACAGAAATGTCTGGCTTAGCACAGAGATGGAAAAAGAAACTTTAGGTAAATTAGTCCTGAAGGCCTCAGGAGTTAATACAACATGGACAGGCACTGTTCGTCTTCTGCTTCCTCTTCATCTTTTTTTTTTTTCATGAAACCCAATTTAAATAGATCTGAACTCGAAGTCAAAAACAAGTTCTGGTTAAATCAAATCAATTAAAGCAGAAGGCCTAGCACCTGCATTCATCTGTATTCTGAAGCAGTGCGTTCGGCTCTGCAGCATAAGAGAAGACTCCAGTGTTGAGCAGAGAACAGCAGGAGTGTGTGCAGCTTCAGTGATGTGAATCCCAATCAGAGCAAACCTCTGAGAGCGGTTTGTCTGTTTCGTTCAGCTCTATCTAATGACTGTATCCTCTGGCTTCTGGTTCATCACTGACAAAGGAGAGATTGCTGATGAAATATTTTAGTGTACAGTATTACCTTTTCCTCACTCTGTGTGACTGGACAGTGTGGACAAATGGATTGCTACCAAATAATAGACGTCTAGATGTGTAGACTACAAGATAAACAGGTATAAACTATACATCTGCAAGAAAACTCCACTAGTATTTATTCACTCAACACAGACACACAGTGTAATGCAAAGCATCACTCTTATCAAGCACCAAAATCTACTTGAGTGCTAATGGCGCCCCCTTGTGGAAGAATTTGAGACTGCTAAAAGTGATTATGTGAGTGACAGAGGGAGTGAGGGATGGAGACAGAGTGAGGGATGGAAACAGAATGAGGGATGGAAACAGAGTGACGGATGGGTGGGGGGCAAGCCAGGTCCATAAGGTACTTTGCATCTTAAAATTCATACTTAAGAAATTTATGAATTTTATCCACTGTGAAAAAAAATGATGCAACTTTTTAACTTAAAAAAATAAGTATTCTGGTTCAAATTTAAAATTTAAAAATGAAATTGAAAAGTAAAACACAAATTATTCTCCTTTAAGCATATCATTATAATATAATATAACATTGCACTCAAAATTTTACTGTGGGCAGCCAATGTAAATAATGCTATCTGTATTCACAATCCACCTCAAGAGCTAAGTGCTGATCTAGAATAAGTATTTGTATATATATATATATATATATATATATATATATATATATATATATATATCATAATTATGGAGGAATCTAATTCAAGATCAATCCTCCTTTATGAATCCCAGCTCTGGGATTGTCTGGTGTTGCCTGTGCAGTTTGTTTGTTTTTATAGCTCACATTGACTAGTCTATGCAACCTTAATTAAGAGACAGTCTGAGATATGCTTTAGGGATGTGTTTTTACAGAAATGATTTGGGTGACTATACAGTTGTAGTGTTTGTTAGCAACATTAGCCTCATAGCTCCAGTTCTAACTTAAGTTACCAGAGGGCAATTTGAGATATTGCAATATTTCAAAGTTGAATTAGTAACACCAAAAAGATAGGCTGTTAAATGAAAATTATAAAATAGATAGTTCTGGTCCTAAAATCTGATTGGCTGAGCCGTGTTCAAAGTCACTGTAAAATCTGTAATATATGCACACAGACCACCTCACAACAACTAAATTATATATTACTGCGCCACTGCACAAGTGTACTGATGAAGTAAGCAACCATTTTCTTTTTAAAATGAGGGACTGGCAACTTATGTTCCTAACTAAAACTAGGCTGCTCTGCTAACTAACAGGCTAAAAGAAGAAATTCTAGCGTCTACAGCCAAATAGTGCATCATTTATGAGTATGGATGTGTCTGAGTCCTAAATGACTATTTCTTAGCTATATTTTGCACTGTTGGGCTGCAGGATTCAGTATTTAAATCCCTATGTAGTGCACAATGTAGGAAGCAGGCCATTTGAGATTCAGCCCCAGTGTGAGAAGAGGGCGCTGCTGGATTGGTGCTAAACAAGACTTGCGGTTGTGATTCGGTGACCAAAAAGTACTTATAAAGTGAAAGTCTTTACATTAAACAGTGCTGTGTTATCATGTTTATTGTTATATGACAAAAAGTTTAAAAAAATCATGAAATGAC